TTTTAAACAATAATAGCCGTGAGGGCTATCGCCTAGAAAAGCATTTAACGAACAGTGAAGCGGATATGCATCCTGAATGGGCTAATGAAGATCATAATCAATTGTCACATTCTTTATGATTTTGTTAATTTGGAATTGCCGTGGTGCAGCTAAAAGGAGTTTGGCTCGCACACTCAATTTGTATTTGAAAAAGAATAGGATTAGTTTGATTGGTTTGCTGGAAACAAGGACTCCAGGAAGTCGATGTAATAGTTTGATGAAAAAAATAGGTTTGGATAAACAGTTGGTAGTTGAAGATCAAGGGTTTGCAGGGGGGATTTGGTTGATGTGGGCATCCAACAGAATGAGTGCGACCTTGATTTCCTAATCTGACCAATTCATTCATGCTGAAGTAGAGCCAAAGGATGGTGATAAATTCATGCTAACCATAGTTTATGCAAGCCCTCAAGAATATCATAGAAAAAAGCTTTGGGAGGATTTGCGTCACATTAGTAGTCTCATCGAGGGGACTTGGATCATTGGAGAGGACTTTAACGAGATCATAAGTCCTACAGAGAAGAAGGGAGGTTCAGATCCGAATATTGGTAGATGTAGGAGGTTTAATGAGGTTTTAGAGGATTGTCAGGTTATGGATTTGGGTAGTAAAGGTCATTTCTTTACTTGGCAAGGCCCTAAGTAGAATCATCTTAATAGAGTTTAAAAGGTTGGATAGAGTTTGTAGCAATTTGGAGTGGAGAGTTAAATATTCAGTTGCGGTAGTTGAGGTTCCTGTTAGAGTAGGTTCAGATCACAATCCATTGATTGTTAAGCTAGAAAAGCAAAAAGATGGATGGGATGACAAGCCGTTCAGATTTATAGCCAGTTGGATGAATCATAAAGAATTTCTAAATCTGATACAGCAGAGATGGAATGTGAATATTAATATCAACAACATGCTTCAGAATTTTGTTCCTATTTTGAAGGAGTGGAATAAAGAAGTCTTTGGTAATATTCAGAGAAATAAAGAGCATCTTGTTAGAAATTAGAGAGGGTGCAAATTCAGAGAAGCAAGCAGGATTCCTTTTATCTTCAAGAGAAGGAGGATAGAATTCAAACTCAGCTATTAGATGTTCTGAAACATGAAGAATTTCTTTGGTTCCAGAAGTCTAGACAAGATTGGATAGTTAATGGAGATCGTAATACTAGATTCTATCACCTCAAGACTATTGGTCGGAGAAGTTCAAATAGAGTCTCCAGATTGAAGAATGATGCCCATCAAAGGATAACCGACAAAGAGGAATTAAGTAGAATGGCTTGTGACTTCTACCAGAAGCTTTTCAGTGAGGATGATACTAATAGAAGATGGTTGTCTTCTTCTAATTTTTGGCCTAGTATAGCGGAGGAAGATTTAAGAATTATGGAGAAAATTCCTTCTCACTCAGAAATATTGATTATTCTTAAGCAGATGAAGGGATTTAAGGCCCCAGGGAGCGATGGTTATCCAGCGGTTTTCTTCCAGCATAATTGGGAGAAGATTAAAGGACAACTAATAGATGCAATCCGTGCAATCCTAAATATATTGCTAACTTTAACTCAACTCTTCTGGTACTTATTCCAAAAATCCAGAACCCTTCTCATATCAACCAGTTTTGCCGTATCTCCTTGTGCTCAGTTGTGTATAAGTTGATCAGCAAAATTATTGTGAAGCGCCTCAAGCCAATAATGAATAAAGTTGTCTCTCCGTGTCGAGTAACTTTTGTGCCTCATCGTCAGATTCAAGACAATATTATAGTGATGCAAGAGTTAATCCACTCAATGCATAAAATGAGAGGTAAACAAGCTTTCATGGCTATCAAAGTTGATCTTGAAAAAGCATACGATAGAATTAACTGGCAGTTTCTAAAGAATACTTGTCAAGAAATTGGGTTGCCAAATAAAATTTTAGAGATCATACAAGAAGCAATTTCTTCTTCTTCCATAAATGTTCTTTGGAATAGAGGTAAAACAAGTGATTTTCGTCCTTCACGGGGCACTAGACAAGGGGACCCTCTTTCTCCTTATCTTTTTGTTTTGGGCATGGAGAAACTTTCTCATATCATTAATACAGCAGTTCAAGGTGGTCTCTGGAAGCCTATTTGAGTTGGGAAAAATGGGCTTAAAATTTCTCATCTTATGTTTGCAGATGATTTGATGTTATTTGCTGAAGCATCTCAAGACCAGCTGGAGATCATCTTAAAATGTTCCCATTTGTTTGGAGAAATTTCGGGACAAAAAATTAGTAATCAAAAAACTACTATTTTTTTTTCAAGGAATACTCCTGAGGAGACCGCAAAGGCCATATCAGAAGCTAGTGGGTTCAAGAGAGTTCGTAATATAGGGAGGTATCTGGGGGCGTGGATGCAGCATGGCAGAGTTACAAAACAAGTGTACGAAGCTATTGTAGAAAAAGTGAAAGATAAGCTGAGTGGGTGGAAAACTAGATGCCTTTCACAGGCGGGTAGAATTACTCTAGCCCAGTCTGTTATTTCGTCTATCCCTTATTTTCATATGCAAAGTGGAAAGATGCATATCTCTATTTGCAAGGAGGTGGAAAAGCTTCAACGTAATTTCATTTGGGGAGATAGGGATAATAAACGATCTTGTCATCTTATTGGGTGGGACACCCTCACGAAGCCTAAGTCGGAGGGGGTCTTGGTTTTAAAAAATTAACCATCATGAATGATGCGTTTCTAGCTAAGCTGATTTGGAGAATTCAGGATAATCCTCAGGCATTGTGGGTTCAAGTTCTTATGGTTAAATATAATAGCAACATAAGAAGGCCTAATTTGTTTGTTCATAAAATGGGTGATTCTAGATTGTGGGCTAACTTATGTAGAGTTTGGGTTAAAATGGAAGTGTTTCAAAGATGGGAAATTGGTGATGGTAACCAAGCTAGATTTCGGGATGATAAATGGACACCTCTTCCTACTGCTCTGGTGGATTTAGCTTTTGACTCGATTCTTATTGATCATCGTCACTTAAGGGTTAAAGATATAGTAGATGATAACGGTGAGTGGAATTTAAGCCCGCTTGAAAACCTGTTGAACCAACACACAATCCTAGTAATCAAAAGTTGTCTTCCGCCTAATCAATTAGATGGTCCGAATAAGATTGTTTGGTCTTGTAATGGCTATAGTACACCAACAGTGAAAGGTTTTTATGATATGCTGGATATTAGGGATAAGAGTGTTAGTAATACAGATCGTAAATGGGATATTGTGTGGAAGTGGAAAGGGCCTCAAAAAATGAAATTATGACATTATTTACGTGGAAACTCTTGCATGGTAGATTGCTCACAAGAGATTGGGTTGCTAGTTGGGGTGTTGATAACTCAACTTGTGATATATGTATGAAGAGTAGATAAACAATTTTACATGCTCTTACAAACTATGATCGCATAAAGTCAATATGGAAGAATTTGCTCCCCAAGTATAGGTGGTTCGAATTTTAACGCTAACCAAGAGAACTGGATTGAGGATAATTTATTATGCAATAGCACGGGGCCTTTCAACGTTTCTTGGAGATCCTTGATTATGTGCACTGTTTGGTTTATTTGGTTTTGGCGAAATAGTACTGTCCATAATTGTGACACACTTAATGGCAACATGATGGTGCAAATGATAATTGATAGAGCTGTGGAGATACAGGAATCTTGGAAAGCTGAGAGTATTGCTTGCCCACTTTTGGTTACTAATAATCAAGTTGAATTTATTCAATGGAGGAAACCGGATGAGGGTTGGGTGAAATTGAATACGGATGGAGCAGTTAGAGGTAGTCCTGGTCAGGTTGCGTGTGGAGGGATTTTTCGTAACTCTGATGGGGCTTGGTGTGGTGGTTTCTCATATTATATAGGGGTATGCACTGCCTTTATTGCTGAATTATGGGGTGTTTTAAAGGGCCTGAAATTAGCCTGGAACAAAGGGTGGAGACAGGTCATTATTGAAAATGATGCTTTCAATGTCATCACTTTGCTCACCAAGAATGGTGATGCAGCTCATGAGTCTCATTTAGTGACTCGTCTACGAGCATGGATAGCAAGAGAGTGAAATATTAAATTTATTCATACCTTTAGAGAAGGTAATTCTTGTGCAGACTGACTAGCCAACTTTGGAGTGGATAAAGGACAACATTATTCTTTCTTGTGGTTTGAAGATCCTCCTCCTGGGATGTTTTTAGTTCTTCAAGCGGACCTAGCTTCTATTAGTAGGCCTAGACATATTTAGGGGTTTTTTAGTTTCTGATATTTGGTTTTGGTTGTATTTCTTTCTTTTTTTTGTTTGGGCTTTTAGCCTTTTTGTCTACCAAAAAAATAAAAAATAAAAATAAAATGACTTTTTATATTGTCTCTCCTATGAAAAAACATCACATCAAAATACAATCATTTCACTTAAATCCACACAACTTTTAAGAAAGAAAGGAAATATAAAAAAAAACACCACATCAAAGTACAATCATTATATTAAAAAACACAACATAAAATTATGTCATTTGAAATAATAAATACTTTTTCATCAATAAATAAATCTAATTTTTTAAATTTTAAATCACTTTAAAATAACAATCTTATAATTATAAAATTTCATTAATGATATTTTTTATAAATAACTATAAATTTTTTACAACTTTAAATTTAAGAATATTTAAGTAAATTTATTGATCTTTTACTCTCAAAATAAGTTTTCAAAATTTTTATTCAAATTTTAAAAAAATTTCAAACACACCATAAATTTTCTGATCCTCGAAACCACAACTTCAAATACCGATATACAACCCAAAACATATATTGTAGCCTACACAGTAGCCGCAACTCAGGAGGACGGTCCTTTACTTAATCTACCTATAATTATACACCCCTCCTTAATAATTTCAAATATTTTTTGAGTTAAACATATTTTTAAATTTATATTCTTATATTTCACCTAAACTTAAGAATACTCATTTAAGAAATACTTTCTAATTTCAATAAATTATACGTTTAAACAAAGGTTAGAAACCAAGCAAGTTATTTATTGTTGGAATGACTGGTTCAAGGCTCAAACGGATAGCACAGCCTTCGTTCCTCCCCATGCCTTTCACCAGTCGCCAACTCCCATAGTCGCTTGTATTTAAATATTCAAAACGTGCTGAAACCACCAAACCGCATCCTCTTCGAGAGAGACGGGTCACACAAACACAATGAAACATATTTGAAGCCCGTGACTACAACTATATGTCTGACTACAAATGAGACTTTCAATTTAAGCAAAACATCTCAAAATGAATAAAATTTCTGATCCTCAAATCCACATCCTCAAATAAGACTATATATTGTAGCATGCAGAGTAGCACCAACTCAGGACGATGGTCCACAGACGCAAGTCTTACTCAAATGCATCATCATCATCGTCAGGAAGGGGCTGAGAAGCGGCTGCAGCAAGCTCAGCCTCATGCCTGCAAAAGCCACCAATACATAAATTTTAAGAAATTTAAAAGGAACAATTCCAATTGAACGGGAGCAATAATTCTTCAAGATCGCTATGAAATTACTAATGGATTTCGTGGACTATATTTAAAAGTAAAACAACACATCACTCTAAAAACCCTATATCCATCTTGATTGTGACAATTCACTATTAGAACACAGATTTAAATTCAAAATGCAACTTTCAATTTCTACAATCTATCTGTTTTTATCATGCTGGCCCATAAGTCAGGCTTACAGTTACAGCAGAAAGAACTAATTCAGTTCATGTCAGATAGCTTACTGTTGTTGTGCAGCTAAATCAATTTGAATTTCTGGTGGAGCCAAAGCAGGAGATTCTACAAAGTGCAAGTTAGGATCGCTGCATAATTGACACAAGTAGCAAAACGTAAGTTGAAATGCATTTAAAAGTTTGATGTGTTGTTACTTATTATGTAAAAGGTAGAAACTAATTGTACCTACCCTGCAATTTTCCTAGCAAGGTACAGAAAAGGCTTCTCAAAGTTATAGTTACTCTTAGCTGAAATCTCATAGTACTGCAAATTTTTTTTCCGGTGGAAAGTGACCTGCTTTGCCTTCACTTGCCTGTTCTTCACATCAACCTTGTTACCGCAGAGAACAATTGGAATGTTTTCACAGACCCTGAAAATCAGTTGTGTAGAAAGTGTCCGTCATGTAATATAAACAACTTGTGCTGAATAATTAGAGATGAAACAATTAAAAAGGTTTTGAAGGATTTCATGCACGAACCGACAAAGATCACGATGCCAGGTAGGGACATTTTTGTATGTTAGTCGGGCAGTCACATCAAACATTATAATAGCACATTGCCCATGGATACTGCAAAATAAAAGATATAATGTTAAAAGCACTAGATGGGGGATTTGAATAATGGCAGAATAAAAAGCTTACACAAAACATTTGAAACGGATCAAATTAAATATTTCATTGCAGTTCTTAAATTGTGGAATTCCTACGCATATAACAAAGTCATCCATATAATATTGAGATAAACACTACAAAAGCAAAACTACAATATTGATAAATCCCATGGCATCATGGCCAAGGAACGGCTATGATTAATGACAAGTAACAAATTTTACATTTAACACCCATGCAGAAGTTGAGAATGTGAAACAAATTTTACATTTATCAGGTTTCAAGAACCAATATTATAGGTACCAAAAGAGAGAAAGATGATTGATGACCACCAATACTAAACAATTAATCATTGCAAGAAACCAAAAAAAACATAGGTGAAAGCTCACAACATGTAAACCGAAGAACCCTCCAAATCTTCAAATTTGATTCCAAGCATTAAATATAAAAACAAATTTCAATTTTCATCACAATAAAAAAATGACTCACTCCTAGAAATCACTTACTAATATCCATCTCTGAGGCCACCAAACTTTTCTTGTCCAGCAGTATCCCAGCAGTAGAAGCGAATTTTGCCACAGTTTGTGAAAAAATCCAACGGGTGGACCTCCACACCAATGGTTGCTGCGTTGAACAAAATAAAAAAAAAAGAATAAGTTAATCACGGAGGAAGATGAACATATATACATGAACATCATTAATTAAAAATCAATCTTACGTTCATATCTCTTCTCGAATTCACCGGTAAGATGCCTTTTCACGAAGGTTGTCTTTCCTGCAAACGTATGTTCAGTACAATAAAGTTCATAACCTAATGTATAAGGCGAAACACCACGCTAATGAAGCTCCAACCTAACCTAGATCGTTACGAAAAGAACAACAGAAAAGGCAATAAACTTGTAGGAAGAAAAACTTACCAGTTCCACCATCCCCAACGAGTACGAGCTTGAAACTGGGGTAATCAACGGTTGGCTGATTGGGCAGAGCCTGCACCGCAAAAAAACATCAAATTTAAATTGAACGTAGAAACAACAACAACAACAAAAAAGAGAGAGTACCAGAACGTACCATGGAATGGGATTAGAGTTGTTTCGTTTCTTTGCGTTGAGGAGAAGAAGAACAATTGTTAATGGATCTGAGAAAGTTCGCGAAGGAGCGAGGGTTTATATATTTGAAGGGGTTTCGACTAAGCGCCCTCCTTTAGCTTCAAACTTACGCAGCTTTCTCAGCCCTTGGATTAAATCACACCCCTCCTCAGTTTGAATATAAATGCCAAACAAGCACTGAACTACAACTGGGCTCGGCCCACCGTTCCACCCCTGGCTGAGCCCACTATACAAATTACAAAGTTATTTTTTTCCAGGCTTTTTCAGTCCACCCAAACAAGTCTCTCTCTTTCCTTTCTTTTTTATTGGACGACCTAAAATTTATTTTTTCTAGCCAAATAGAATATTAAAAAAGCCTTGGATTAATTTATGTGTGACGGAAAGAATGGTTCATTCATAACTAAACTACACTTATGATACCAAACATCATTGACACAAGTGGTAAAGAGCTTGTGTCCTTTAACCAGAAGTCTCATCTTGCGAATAAAAAAAATAGTCTTGAGAGAGCCACTCCCGTTATAAAATCCGATAGTGCTCGAACCAGATTAGGAGACTCAAAAACTACACTTATGATAATCTCGGCCCAAAATATAGAGTTGAAACTTTCATAAGAATAATATTGCTTTCCAACAAAATTACTTTAAGATGTCTGGTTCAAGTGAATTTATTTATTGATTTTCCAAAAATACTATAAAAAAAAAAGAAAAAAACTAAAATAACAAACATTTGCCTAAGAATTAATGATCCGTACGAATTAAAAATATATGTAGTATTATAAATATTTCAAAAATAAAACATATCTGACTATGTTGATATTAATTTTTATTTTTTTTACAATTCATATAAAAAAATATTGTTAGTATAAAACTGTAATAACTAATATAAACTACCATAATTTTTTTATTAAAATATACTCAACTAAAGTAATTTTAGGAGTTAACTTGCAATGGATGATTGCTATCTTTCTTATAAGTACGTGCATCTTATCTTATACTAGTGCAATATCAATTACAAACACATGTTAACATTTGTTATAAAATTAGTTATGAGTTTCAAACAAATTTTAAATTTAAATAATTATAATTATGAAACAAACTAAAATAAACATACAAATTGACTTTTTGACCCTAGTAATTTCTTTTTTATAAAATTTGACCGGAATAATTTTTTGGTCAAACTTATTATGGATATAATAAAGAGAAATACTACTCTCATTTTACACGAGGTAGTTATCTCATGTTGTCTCACATCGAAAATTTCACTCATTTTTTTTTCTTTTTTATCTTTTAATAATAGATCCCACATGATTTCTCTCTGTATCGTGAGAGAGCTACTCTCATGTAAAATTCCTCTATAATAAAATCACATTAAGACACGACATTACAAGAACCGCGTCCTTTACAATTTGAACTAGCCAATCGCGTGAGAGTAACTGCTGCAATTAATAGCTCCAAGACACGGCGCAGTTTGGGTACCGCGTTTTTGAGTGCCAGTGCGTGAGAATGAATACTGTAATTAATGGGACTATGACCCAACATTTTTTATAGGGTTTTATGTTTATCATGTAATATGATATAACATCACTTTTCTACATATACATTAAAAAGGTGAGGTCCACATGTTTTTCTTTCTGTTGCATCATTTCACTTTCTCTCTCCAATTTTGTGTGTGTTAGAAACAACACTTAAATCATGTAACATAACACTAATAAAACTCTTTTTTATATCGCATTTACATGTGACCAGCCTATCACTGAGATCAAAAATTGTAAAGTATGTTTTGTTACCATGGCTTTGGTTTGAATTCGAAAAAGTTCCATGAGTGATACATAAGTATGTTTTGTGATTAGAATTGATATTTATTTATACTTATTTAACTGACATTTATTTATATTCTTATTTAGTTTTATATGTTAAGAACAAAATTAACACACATTTTTTTCGTGTTTAATTTTAGGGCTTAGGATTTTTGTATTACATATATTTGATTTTAAATTAAGCTAGGATTTTAGTATTTTGTTAATAATTTGTTGCGGTTATTTAATAGATGTAGATAAATAAATTGGTTCATAAAAAAAAAAAAAAAAATCTACATCTATTAAGCCTAATAGATGTAAAATGATTAAAACAAAATTTAAGCCTAATAACCTACGGTTTTACTAAATCATAAAAAACATGGGACATTAACGGTACTTTTTTTCTTAACATATAAAACTAAATAAGAATATAAATAAATGTCAGATAAAAGAGTATAAATAAATAAGGAAATACAAGTGTTATGTAACATGAACAATTTCCACTTTTCTACCGACTCAATCTCCACTTCACAGCAATGAAAATTCATCGCAAGTTCTTGTTAATCCAATTCTGAATGGTCGCAACTATCACTCATGGGCGCGATCTTTTTCCATGGCATTACGTTCTAAAAACAAGCTGGGATTCATCAACGGTACTACAGAAGTTCTAGAAGAAGATGATCCATAATTTCAAGCCTGGGATCGCTGCAACACGATGGTGCTAGGCTGGATCCATAGATCCATTTCACAAACGATTACACAGTCCATTTTGTGGATCGAAAAGGCATCTGATGCATGGCAAGATCTGCATGACAGATTCTCTCAATCAAACGTCTTCAGAATCGCTGATCTTCAAGAAGAGATATGTAGATTACAACAAGGTGACAGACCTGTATCTGAATTTTTCACTCATCTCAAGACACTATAGGATGAATTAGATAACTTGAAACCACTTCATTCTCCAATAGTTCCTTGCAAATGTGGTGTTATAGCTCAAATGCGAACATCTCGTGAACAAGATCATACCATAAGGTTCTTGAGAGGATTAAATGAACAATTCGCCCAGGCACGCTCCCAGATTATGATGATGGAGCCCATGCCTAATGTTGTCAAGGCATTTTCTTTTGTGATCCAACAAGAACGACAGTTTAGTTCCGAAGACAATCACAATCTTCCTCAAGCTCAGGCTGTTGTCAATGATCAGATTTTTCGAAGAACTTATCATGATAACAGCAGAAGAGGTCGTACTTTTAGAGGACGTGGCGAAGGCCGTAGCTATGCTGGAAGCTATGGTGGAAGAAACTTCAGTAAACTGTGTACTCACTGCCATAGAACCAATCACACCATTGAAACGTGTTATCTTTTACACGATTTTCCCCCTGGCTACAGAAAGAACATGGCAAACAATGTGTCCACTCATTCAGAAGCTCCATTCAATCCTCAAGCTCCTCCTAACATCAACATGATCCAAGATCAGTACCAACAAATCTTGAGTTTGTTGCAGAAACCAACTCCTCCTGATGCAGCTGCTCATAATGCTAATGCAGTCCTTGTCTCCAACTCCATTGCTGATAATATGCAACCAGGTATCGGTATCATTGAATGGATTATCGATACAGGTGATACTGATCACATCACTTTCGTGTTTTCTCATTTTTCATCTTTTAAAAAAATCTCACCAATTTCTGTTTCCTTACCGAATGGTGCTAATGTTACAGCTTGTATTTTTGGTACTATACACATTTCTCCCACACTCACCATCAACAATGTCCTCTATGTACCACAATTTCGTATTAATCTTCTTTCAGTTTCGAAACTTTTAAGTTCAAATCTTTACTCTGTTATTTTTAACAAAACTCATTGTTTCATCCAACAGAAAACGTCCAATTACCAGACGCTGATTGGTTCTGCTGAGCAGCGTGGAGGATTGTACGTGGTTGAAAGTAAAGATGTAACAGCTCACACACGTTCTCTGGATGTATCTCGTTTGAATGTAACCTCTAGTTGTATACCTTTCTGTAGTAACATTTCCCAGCTTACCAATAAGGCATCTAATGCAAGTGTTATGTAACATGAAAAGTCTCCACTTTTCTACCGACTCAATATAATGTGGGACCCACTTCAACTTTTTTTGCTTTTTTTTGTACAATAGGGCCCACAGTGTTTCTGTGTCTGTAACATGACACAAATGGTGTGATGTTACATGACAAATGATTATCCCAAATAAATATCATTCTTAATCACAAAACATATTATAAAAAAGTATAAATAAATATCAATCTCAATCACAAAATATACATTTATATCACGGGTTCAGCAAGTGTACAATGATTGGATACAAAATTTGGTCCAGTGCACTAAATTCTCCTGCGAGAACACAATTATAGTAAATATTATAACTATGTTCTCTCAAAAAAACACCATTATAATATTTAGTGCACTAAATTCTCGCAGAAAAACTTAATGCACTGGACCATCTAGTAAATAAATTTTCATTTTTTCCTTATATCACACACGAAATTTTTTCAAATTCAAACCAAAGCCATGGTCACAAAACATACTTTACAATTTTGATCTCAGTGATAGGCTGGTTACACGTAAATGCAGTAGAAAAACTGTCACTCCCATTAATTATAGCACTCATTCTCACGTGTTGACACTCAAAAAAAGTGGTACCCAAACTGCTGCGTCTCAGAGCCATTAATTGCAGCACTCATTCTCAAGCAATTGGCCAATTCGGACGCGGTTCTTTGTAATGTCACATCTTAATGTGGTTCCATTAATGCCGCGTGATTATGCATTATATAAATAATAAATTTAACTAAAAAATTATTCCGGTCAAACCATATAAAACAGAGATCACTAGAGTCAAAAAGTCTAAAAAGTTCCATTGTTTATTTGCTGAAAGTACATAAAACACTTTTAAGAAACCCACTGATGCATCGTACACGTCTATACCAACATCATTTCGTATACACTTATTTTCATATAAAAAATAAAAAACAAACTACAGCCTTTCGCTTCCTTAATTTGTAAACAAACCAAAATATAAAACAACACTTCAGAGGTCAGAAACCCATGTGTAATTTTTACATTTGATTCGTTGCACACTGTGGTTTTCGAAATTCTCAATATGGAATCCACTATGGTTTGCGAGCACTGAGCAAGATGACATCATCAATCACAGGTCCACACAGCGAAGAGAGGTCGTCGCTTCTCATGGTGTAGAACGTGCTAAGGAACGCAATGCGTGTTCTTGGGCTAACAGCAACAAACTTGAGTGCTGCACGCTTGAACCCACCTTTGCCTTTGGACTCGTAAGGAACCTTTATAGTGTCTCTACCAGCAAATGCTTCAACACTCAATGACCCTTCACATGAATCACCAGCGTCTCCAACAGCAAAGGAGAGAGCGTACGTTTTGCCAGGAATGGTTCTGGCTACTTGTGCAATGGCACTTTCTTTTCCTCCAACCAGTTCCACTGCTCTTCTTCCTTGTGGAACTGAGAAATGCTCCGAGTCTATGTATTTCACTGCCTTCAGTGACTCCACTATCCATCCTGGCAATGGAGAATGTTCGTTGAGGTCTACAATGTTTGGTGGGATAAGCACACCCCAAGATGTGTTTGGGAACACATATGGTCCTTCTTCAAAACCACCATTTTTCAATATGTTCCCTGTCAAGTGTCAGATAAGAACATGCATAATCATTAACGAACTTTATTATAAAATAAAATGGATTCCAAATTCTTAATTAATTGCTGAAAGAAAGTTACGAGGAGCATTTTGCATAAATAGTCAACCAGATGAAGATATGAAATATATGAAAATCACTCCTTTTATATCTGTTTTTCTTCAAAACCACTCCTTTTGCATAAATATATGACCGAAAGAAACCAGTCTATCTTCCTCTATGAGGAATTATGAAGCTCATTATAGGATCACAGCCAACGATTTTATATCCTGCTGGCATCTTACATTACATGGCAAGCTGGCAATATATGTTAACTAGTTTCCATTATGCGCATTAATAGGCCGTCCTTTTCTTGTGCTATTACTCACTTGTTTTATATGCTTTGTTTGATTAATAAGCATTCTATTCATAGTATATTAGCAAATAGCAATCATTTTATAAGGAATACTGCATCAAATCAAACAGCCTGTATGGGTGTATATGGTTCTATGTCAGAGAGTAGGAAGAGTAATTAATTAAATAAGAAAAGAGTTTTATTAATGTTATCTGACATGATATAAGTGGATTTTCCAACACATACAATAATGGAGAGAGAAAAGTGGAATGATGAAAGAGAAAGAAAAACATGTGGACCCCACCTCTTTAATGTGTGTGTAGGAAAGTGAAGTTATGTAAAATAATAAACATAAAACCCATAAGAAAAATGCTAATAATACGTTCTTTTTGATAATGGGTTTAATTATCATGTGAGATTCACTAATAGAGACAAGATTTTTAAAAAGATAAACTTACTCTTAGTTGGTCTAGGAGGGTACAGGGCACTGAGTGCAATAGAATCAATGAGTGGGCCACAAGCTGGGTCCTCTGTCACTCCCGGGTTATGAATAACCATATCCACATCAGGGAAATCTGCTTGGAAGGACCATGCATAAGCATCCCAACCATTGCTGCTATATAATGTTTGCATTGGGAGCACCACCCAGTCTGGTGTCACAGAGACATTGAGTCTCTCATCTTGTGCACATGTGCGTGCTACCACAAACGTGATAGAATAGTACATTCCCTTGGTGACCTTTATCCTTTGCTTAATAGAAGCATCGTTGCCAAGCCTCACCGCATATGAACCCTCTGGCACCACAAGCAACATGTCACCTTGTTTCTGACCTGATTTTATGTACTCAACGTAGCCAGAGATGACCCAATCCGGTATAGCGTGGGGACCGCCGGTCACCACCGTGCCCTTCATGTCTGATGGCTTCGGCCCCATCTCAAATTCTCCATTTGCCACGTATCCTGTATTAATTAATGAGCAATATTATTTATCTAATGATGATAATGAGCAAAAACATGATTGACTCAGATTTCATTGGACCATATTTTGCAAATCAACAGCACATTTGAAATCATATTTTCCATTTCGAATATTTATGCCATGTTAGTGCCTTTCTGACTCTCCAATTGAAACATTCCCAGTAATTAATCATACAGGGTAATGTGAATTTTAAAAGCACTCTGCACGCATGGACATGAGACAGCGCAAACACTTTGATAAGGGAGAAAATGTGGCTTTTTAAAATAATAAGCAACATTTATACAAAAAAATAAAAATAATAAGCAACAAACCACTAGGATTGGTCTGGTAAGGGATTTGGGTAGTTTGTATATCAAATTATGTGTTTAATTTCCACCCGTATATCCAAGTAAAATAAAACAAAATAAGCAGGGAACTTTTGCTATTACCATGACATTCGAATCCTAAAAAGACTTGAGTTGCTACAATTAATCTGCAAATTCTTTGGCAATCACGTACATTAATGACTTTATATATATATATATATATATAGGGCTTAACATTTTTGCCGCTACCGTAGACAGTGTTATCTGCAGCTGACACAGAAAAATAGTTCCCGCAGCTTTAAAAAGAAAAAAAAACAGGCAGCTGCAGAAATCATTTTGCCATATATATATATTTGTTGGGTAAGCATATATAAACGTACGTATTTTGTTAGTAGCTTACCGTCAATAAAGGAGAAAGCAACATGGAAGGAGGTGCACAAGAGTACTAACAGAAACGAGAGTCCTTCCATGTGTGCTGGGTTGTGAAACACAGCAATTTCAAGAGAGTGAAAGGTAGAAGGGGAGAAATAATTGAGAGAAAGGAAGGTAGCAGAGAAGGGAATGAGCAAGGCCATATATATATATATTGCGTGTCATTTGACCGTGTGTGTTTTTTTTTTGCAATCGAATTTGAAACGAATCTTGGATGTTTTCTGGTGCAGGTCGTAGACAAAAGCTATTGACTGTCACATGCTCTTCCCAGGTCCTTCACTCGTTGCAAAGCATGAAATTAAGCTATCCCCTGATGACAAATTTTCCTAGGTCCTTCACCTCACTATATCACTACTGCCCCGGATGGCATTTTTTGTTATCCCGGTACCAATCTTAACTATAAAATTGTTGGGTTTCATTAAGCATATATAGCTGGAGTCTGCTATTTTCAAATGACTTTTTATTTTATTTATTTATTTAAGAGAGGACTAATCACTGTAAAACCTTGTTTTTTAGCTCACACCCAAGGTTGTGTTTGTGTTTGGAATCATTAAAAACTAAAAAAAAAATTGGATTAAAATTAAAAATATATATTAAGAATGTGATTTAAAATTACATACAAATTAAAATTCACCTTTAGAACACATATATTATGATTCAATGAATTTATTTTATATTATTAATTTGGAAAAAATTATATTTACAAATTTGTTGTTTACAAACTAAACTATGCATGTCTGACCGTAATATACTTTGGAGTAGAGTATTATCGATCAAACATAGTGTAATTTGTAAGTTTGTAAAACAAAATTTTGTAAACGAATTCTTTCCCTATAAATTTGCTATATTACACGTATGTTCAAAAGCGACTATATGACCTTGGCCGGCTTTTTCACTGCATCATCTGGCATAGGGATGGCAAAAATGAGCCAATTCGTCTAATTGGCTCGTAACTAGGGGTCTAAATAGGCTAAGCTACACTAGGTTTTGACTTAAATAGGCTATGCCTATGTAAAAAATATTGGGTATGGCCTGGCCTGTTAGCCTGTGTATGCCTCAAATTATAAGTCTGACCTGACTTATATTTAAAAAATAAAAGCATTGGCCTAGGCCTGTTAGTCTGTTTAAGCCTATTAAACATTCAACAATTAAAGGAATAACTACAAAAATATTACTTTATTATTAAAAATTATAAAAATATTAATTTTATGTATTTAATTTAAAATAAATAATATGATATAGGCCGGCCTGTAGGCTTATAGGCGTGATATGTACAAAAAAAAAACCTATGGCCTGTTTTCTAAATAGGTTTTCTTAAAAGCTTAGGCCTATTCTATTTTACTATTTATAATAGGCCAAGTCTGGCCTAATATAGGCTAAGTCGTAAGCTCCTGTAGGCCGGCATAATTCATTTACACCCCTACTCGCAACCTGCTAAAAATGAGCTTGTGGAGTTGATACAAATGAGTTGATAACCTGAGCCAGCTTGAAAAAAATCTAGTCAAGCCAACTCGCGGGTCAAACGAGTCAGCCTGCCTACGTGTTGAGTTTTTTTTTAATTAAAAAATACAAAATATCAAAGACCCACCACGCCGCCTTCGATTTCTTTCTTCTTAGCACGCTTTTAGTTTTTTCTCTAACCTAATCTTCTTACATCAGCGCCCATGTTCACTCGAAGGTTCTGATTCATCGGCTGGGAAGATTGAATTGGATTGGATCAACTCAAAGGTAAAGTGAAAATATTCATCTTTCTCGTTCTTGTGCTTGTTTTGATTTCTGGGTTTCTATAAATTTGGCTTATTTTTTGTTTTTGGCTTTTGGGTTTTCATCTGCTTGGAGGGATGACTCATGGGTGATTTGGAATCTTGGGAAAATGGATACTGTGTTTGTGAGTTAGGATTTTAAGGTGAACTCAAAATTGGGGTTGCTTTAGTTTTTGTTTTTTGTTTTCAGTGGCTCGAGGAATTAAAAAACGGCCACTGGAAATATGGGTTATCATTATCAGCATCAGCTTGTGTATCAGTATGAGTATACTCGATCTTGCTATCAGTAATAGCTTGTGTATACTTTTGCGCTTCTGTGCTTCGAGGCTTCCCTTTGTGGTTCTCATAGAATGGTTTCATTTGTTGGAGTTAGAAGTCTTTTATTATTTTATTTTTGAAAAAAATACGTGATTCATGTGAAATAAGAAGAAAATAAAGAGAGGAGAATGGATCTTTCTTTTGGTGTTGGCGTATATCCTCATTTTTTTTTTCAAACAGGAAAATGTTACTTAAATTTTATGATCTTGATCGGATAACCAAAATTCAACTGTTGTTGTTGTGTTTCTTTTCTCAGCTGAAAAAAAATCTGTGCTAACATATATTTCATGAGCATGCATGTTCATTTGGACATGGAAAAATGATAGTGCAATTGTGTTGATTGCAACATAGGCTTCCTTGATATAGGCCATGGGTACTCCGGTCCTAGCAGGTTATAGAATGAAATGTTCAATTGTTATTTAATGATCAACGAAAGTCTTTGGCAGGACCGAAAATAAACATAGGAAAAAGAAATTTAAAATTGTATGTTAATAGAAGCATGGTGGTGAAAATCAGCAAGTGTAATTTCCCTCCTCCTTTTAATTACTTTTTGTCTGCTAGGCAGTAAAAGGGAAGGTTCTTATTGAAATCGTATGTGGAGGCTTAGTTAATGAATCAGTTGTTTAAGGAATACAAATTCGATAGATAAGCACACATGATCTGTTACAAGGAATAAACATAGGCTGAAATTGAGACAACCCGCGAGCTAACTCTAACCCGACTCTTTTTTTCGGGTTGCAAGCGGGTTGAGTCGGGTCGTGCTGGTTTGACCCGTTTTGCCAAACATAATACGACAAAGCCAAAATGCTTATGCACTAAAGGATTGATGGTTCCTCTTTATATGTGATTACCCTACACTTCTCACACGCTCACGCGCGATCCGTACACGTGAGGAGTCCTGCAGCCACACCTCATTGTGAGGCTGATAGAGTTTGAAAATGATTATGACGTCACATTTTTCGTACTAGCGAAATTTTCTCCACTTTATAAATACTCCATCACCTCCCATCTTCGTCACCATCACGACCTTATTGAAACTCCATTGAATTAACATCTCACCAACCATAAACATGTCCATTTACCCCATCTTTGATTCTTAACTTGTCGGAGACTTGAATGATGACCTCTTTGAGCTGAGGTATATTAGTGCCTTTTCAATCACCACCATCATATTGACATACTCCACCTATCTGTGATACATCAACTACTACTCCTTTCTGACAAGTTCACGGTACTTAAAATATTTAAGATGACTTAATAAATAATTTCAAATGTTTAAAAGGAGAGGTTATACTTACTACCTCCTTTTCTTATTACTAAATCTTAAAAATTAATTTCTACCATTCTAATGGTTATAATTTATTGGAAATTAATAATTAATTAATAAGTATGACCCAATAATTGTTGGAAACTCGGTTCCCTCAACTCGACTCAGAAGCCTTTTGCAGAAGTCAGTCAAGCAAGATCCTGGATCTCGGATCTTGACAATATTACCTCGGCCTGAACTTCACCAAGTCGGGCAGCGCAGCGAAAAAAACAAAAAATAAAGGGGAGAGAGAAAGAGAGCACAAGCAGCTTTAACGTGAGAAAACCTTCTCCAATGAAGAAGTAAAAACCCACGAGACCTAATCCAGTTCAAACATCCACTATGAAAACAATGGGTACAAAGAATCAAGATTCACCAAAGTGGTGGTTAACTCAACCTCTTCAACAATGGTGATAATCAAACTTTCCTAAAGAAGTTTCACTCAAACTCTCTCTAGAGATCTCTCAAAATACAAAGCTCAAAGCTTTGCTCACAAATCTCTCAAATAATCTTCTCTTGTTCTAACCTAGCCTCCACCCACAACTAATGAATATATAGAGAGGTGAAATATAGGGTTTAGAGTTTTTAGAAAACCCCTTAATGGGTTTGGGCTTAGCATTGAAGAGGAAGTCCAACAATAATTACAACCATTAGATTGATGAAAATCAACGGTTAAGATTTAGTAGTAAGAGGTAGTAACTTAACTTCCCCCATGTTTAAATCCAAAATTTATATCAAATCAAAATCATTAAAATCTAACAAATTTACATAAACTTAAATTTATATAAAATAAATATTGATTTCCAAATAAATGAATTATTATTTTATAAATTTTCTAACAAAAGGATTTCATATATAAATCAAATTTTTTGTTAAATGTACATTCATCGGGTTCATTCAGACAGCGGACCTAGAAAATTATATTTATGTATGCACATTTATTGGCAGGAGTTCGACAGCAGTGTCCCGAATTTTTTTTGTTTAAAAGCTCTCGCCATGCACATGATCCATGGAAGGGTATACGATAGATAGTTTTATTTTGCATTTGCAAAATGTTAAATATAAGAATTGAAAATGTGACTTTTAGGTACATGACCACAATACCAACCATTAAGACAAGAGAAAGTAACAACTTAGTAAATCTAAACTAAGTTAACTATACAACTCTAAAAGCAAAACAAATCAGTTTTTTAATAGAAAAAAAGAGTTACTTTTATAATTTAGTGTCTGCACTTGCCCACATGGGCAATAGTGCAGGTCCACCATTGATTCAGACCGTAATTAGCACACAAAAATTTCTCAAAAAATAGGGACATGAAACTATAATTATAAATCCACTTTCAATCCAATTGTTTAAATCTATTATCTAAATTTTTAAATTTATTTATTTATAAATTTCATTATATAATAAAATTAGAATCAATATAATTTGTTAGTTAAATATTAGTAAAAAAATACGAAAGACACATTGTTATCATATTGTATTGTTTTATGAAAATTATTTGAAAGTATTGGATTATAGGAAGTTTTCTTATATAACTGTTACTTTACCTTTTAGAAAAATATTATTACCCGTAATTAAATTACAGTGAGATGGGTAAAAAAACTAATTATGGTTGAAGACATAAAAGAATACCATAATATACAATTT